GTAGCTAGGATTATAAGCATAGGACACTGGCACCCAGCTCCAAAATGTCTTTTTTTCCCCCCTCAGTGGTAAAAATTGGACATAGAGCCTCACTTGTGCCATACAAGTGCACCATGCCTGAGCCATAACTCTGCCCTGAAAATAATGCCTTTATTATTTTTATTTTTTGCCAGTCCTGGGACTTGTACTCGGGGTCTGGGCACTGTCCCTGAGCCCCTCTGGGCTCAAGGCTACACTTTACCACTTGAGTCACAGCACTACATCTAGCTTTTTCTGCTTATGTGGTACTGAGGAATCAAACCCAGGACTTCCCGCATGCTAGGCAAGCACTCTACCACTAAGCTACATTCCCAGCCCCAATAATGCTTTTCTTATTTTTTATTTAAAAATTTTTTTTGACTGTCATGGGGCCTGAACTCTGGGCCTTCAGCTCAAGGCTAGCGTTCTACCACTTGAGCCACAGCGCCATTTCTGGCTTTTTCTGCTTATGTGGTGCTGAGGAATTGAACCCAGGGCCTCATGCATGCAAGGCAAGCACTCTACCACTGAGCTACCTTCCTAGCCCTTTATTTTTATTTTTAAAACTTCAGTATATAAGCTGGGCACCAATGGCTCATACCTGTAATCCTAGCTACTCAGGAGGCTAAGATCTGAGGATCGTGGTTCAAAGCCAGCCCTGGCAGGAAAGTCTGTGAGACTCTTCTCTCCAATTAACTACCAGAAAACTGGAAGTGGCTGTGGCTCAAGTGGTAGAGTGCTAGCCTTGAGGTGCAAGGACAGCACCCAGGTCCAGAGTTCAAGACCCGTGACCAACACAACAAATTCAGTATATAAAATGAAAGGTCAATCTCTGTGTGTGTGTGTGTGTGTGTGTGTGTGTGTGTGTGTGTGTGTGTGTGTGTGTGTGTGTGTGTGTAGTTTAATTGGTGATACAAGTTTCATGGACTTTTCTGTTGGCTGGCTTTGAATCTCAATCCTCCAGATCATAGCCTCCTGAGTAGCTGCAATTTTAGGTGTGAGCCACTGGCACCCAGCTGTAAGCACAATCTTTTAAAAGAGCCTTAGATTATCTGGGCACCAGCTGCCTACACATGTAATCCTAATTCCTTAAGAGACTGAAACTGGGAGGATCTAAGCCAGCCCAGGTTAAAAAGCTTGAGATACTCCATCTCTAAACAGCAAAATGCTGGGCTGAAGGTGAGGTTCAAGTGGTAGAGCACCAGGCATGAGTGGGAAACCTGAGCGCTCAAGGTTATTGAGTTCAAACCCCAGTATCCCTGACTGGCACAAAAAAAATAAAATTAAGTAAGGTGGGCTGGGAAGGTGGCTCAGTGGTAGAGCACTTGCCTTGCATGCATGAGGCCCTGGGTTCGATTCCTTAGCATCACATAAGCAAAAAAAAAGCTGGAAGTGGCACTGTGGCTCAAGTGGTAGAGCACTAGCCTTGAGCTGAAGAGCTGACAGACAGCGCCCAGGCCCAGAGATCAGGCCCCATGACTGGACCCAAAAAACAAAACAAAACAAAAAATAAGTATGTAAATAAAGGCTCAGGTGTGAACAGAATGTTTCTAGCATACCTTGGCTCATGCCTGCAATCCTAGCTACTCAGGAGACTGAGATCTGAGGACTGCAGTTAGTTCAAAGCTCAGCTCAGGCAGGAAAGCTTGTGAGACTTTTTTTTTTTTTTGGTCTGGTCGTGGGGCCTGAACTCTGGGCCTGGGCGCTGTCCCTCAGCTCTTCAACTCAAGGCTAGTGCTCTACCACTTGAGCCACAGTGCCACTTCCAGCTTTTTTTTTTTTTTTTTTCTGCTTATGTGGTGCTGAGGAATCGAACCCAGGGCCTCATGCATGCAAGGCAAGCGCTCTACCACTGAGCCACCTTCCCAGCCCAGACTTTTTTTTTTTTTGGGGGGGGGGGTCAGTCATGGGGCTTGAACTTTGAGCCTGGGCACTGTCTTTGAGCTCTTCAGCTCAAGGCAAATGCTCTACCACTTGAGCCACAGCGCCACTTCCAGTTTTCTGGTGGTTATTTGGAGATAAGAGTCTCACAGACTTTCCTGCCCAGGCTGGCTCTGAACAGTGATCCTCAGATCTCAGCCCCCTGAGTGAGCCACGGGTGCCTGGCCTGTGAGACTCTTATCTCCAATTAACTACCAGAAAAACTGGAAGTGACACTGTGGCTCAAGTGGTAGAGCACTAGCCTTGAGCTAAAGAGCTAAGGGATAACACCCAGGGCCATAGTTCAAGCCCCAGACCAACAAAGAAAACAGAAAGAAAAGACTTGGAACTCCAACACAAGTGAGGAAAGTCAGATAAAAGAGAAATTCCTAGCAAATGGAGTTGTGGCTCAATAGAGCCTTGAGTAAGAAAGCTCAGGAACAGCACTCAGGGCCCTGAGTTCAAGCCCCAGAGAGAAGAGAGAGAGAGAAAGAAGGAGAGGAGAGAGAGAGAGATTCCTAGAATTCTGTGAAACCAGTAATCGAGAAAGAAAAAGACAGGCTGTGATAAGGCATAGCATGTTAAATCACAGCAGAAACTATCTCCATCCCATTACTAACATACACTGGAACCTGGGTTGTTCTGCTGGGAACTGATCTGGAATCCTCTCACTAAGCACCCCACCACCAGAGCAAGAGAAGTCATAAGATGCTCCATTCTTTCTCCTTTTCCAACCCTCCCTCCTTGGCAGCACAGGACATTCCAGACCCTCTCACCACCACCATCTCCCCCGCCTCCCCAGCTACTGGTCACGAGGCCCCAATCCCCCAGAGTCCATTCATGTGACGCTCAGCTGAGACCCTTCTGCCTGTCTTTCCCAGCCCCCCAACATTAAGGCCTGTTCTGTGTTCACCCTTCCCCCATCCTAAAGTGGGAAAATGTTGTCTTCTTCACCTTCTTAATCAAATACAACATTTTCTCACTTTAAACCACCTATCCCAAATACCTGAGACATTGCCTGAAAAAAATCCCTTGGACCCATTGGGAGCTTCTGCTCCAGCTAGCTCACTGCCCAGAGTTAGGACTATACCTCTGCACACCGGCAAGATAGGATAGGATTCTTCTCATGCTTAGTCCCAAATTTTGTGTAGGGAGAGAGGTCAGGTGTCCATATCCTCACCAAACCAAATAGTTTAGCAAAACCTGAAATATAACTGGTAGTTTCCATTAACTAATTCACACCCACTCCAGTCCACACACACTCACCTTCTGTGGCCCCCGCAGCCAGCAGAGCACTCAGTACAGACAAATGGAGAAGGTACCTTCCCAGCACCATCTCTATTCAGTTCTCTCCAGCAATCAAAGGTGGTGGGGGGACTAGAATAAGCCCCTATATAGGAAAGGGATTCTCATTTGCATAGCCCTTCCTCTTCTCCTTATGAGAGGGGCGGGAGATCAGAGAGAAGCAGATAGGGCTTGAGATCCTGGTCCCAGGATTCCTTTTCCATCTCACTACTTTAATGACGGTTTCTGGCTTCCCTGGGTCACACTCTATCATCTCACATCACTTGACACACTCCATTTCTTAGGAGAGAGTTGATTGATAGCTCTGTAACACAGTAACACATACTCAACAAACAATGCATCAGGGGATAGTGAAATCAAAATCAGAAACCTCTCCAGACAGAACAGAATTCGGGTATCCACAGCCAGAGATTGTATTGGCGTACCCTGAGAGATGACTCTTTTGAGTTCCACAAATTGTTTATGATAAGATTCCTGGCTTTTTGTTTAGGTTTTTAGAGACAGGGTGTCTCTATGTATCCTAGGACAGCCTCAAACTATATACATGAGGCTGGCCCTGAACTCTCAATCCCCTCAATACCTGCATGAGATTACAGAGACTACTATTCTTGCAGGTTTTCTAGTTTTTTGGTTTGTTTTTTTTTTTGGGGGGGGGGTGTCATGAGGCATGAGCTCAGGCCCTGGGCACTGTCCCTGAGCTTTCCTGCTCAAGGCTAGTGCTCTCCCACTTTAAGTCACAGCTCCACTTCTTGTTTTCTGGTGGTTAATTGGTGTTAAGAGTCTCATGGACTTTCTTACCCCAACTGTCTTTGAATTGTGATCCGCAGCTGTCATCCTCCTGAGTAACTAGGATTACAGGCCTGAGCCACCAGCTTCTGGTTTTTATTTTTAAAGACACCCTGGGGTTTTTGGGAGCTCATGCCTATAATACTAGCTACTCAGGAGGCTGAGATCTGAGGATGGAAGTTGATAGCCAGCCTGGACAGCAAAGTTCATAAAACATTCATCTCCAAATAAGCACCAAAAAGCCGAAAGTGGAGGCATAGCTCAAGTGGTAGAATGCTAGCTCTGAGAGAAAAAGCTCAGGGATAGTGCCCAGGCCCCAGAATCAACACACACTCACACGTGTACACACATGAAAAAAGGGACAGTGCCAGAGGGAAGAAGCTAAGCACCTACACCCTGAGTTCAAGACCCAGTACTGGCCCTCCAAAATAAAAAGGACCCCCTGCTGGGTGCCAGTGACTCATGCCTGTAACCTAAGAGGCTGAGATCTGAGGATCATGGTTTGAAGTCTGCCTGGGCAGGAAAGGTCATCAGACTCTTATCTCCAATAAACCACACACACACACACACACACACACAAGGCTGGAAGTTAAGCTGTGGCACAAGTGGTAAAGTGCTAGGTTTGAGCACCCAGGCCCTGGCCAAAATAAATAAATAAAGAGGAATCCTGGGCCAGGTGGAATTTAATCTCTCTCAAGGGGTGGTAAAAATAATCAGGGGCCAGGAATCCCTACAGAAACAGGACCTCAAGCCCCAACCAAGAACCAGAGAAAAACTTTTTCAACCCGGTCCACACAGCGAAAGAAATCTGACTCGCAGCACTGCAGAACCAACCTTGCACGGGCGGGGTCCAGCGCGGGCGAGGAGCGCGGGGGTCGCCTCGCCCTCTCTGACGTTAGCCAATCGGAACGAGGGGGTGGAGCCAAGTAAACGCGGGAAGCGGGGGCGGGGCCTCGGCTGGCGGCCGGGAACTGGTTAGGGTGGGGGGGGGAGGCGGCAACATTGTTTCAAGTTGGACAAATTGACAAGAGCCAGACTGAGACCGCGTTCCATCCTGACCTGGGGGCTACGGGGCTGAGATCTGTTTCTCCCCCCGCCCCTTCTCTTCCGCCCGCGAAAAGTCGGAGCCCTCTTTCATTTAGGGTTTCCAGGCGCCCCCCCCCTGCTCTAGGAACCGGACAGATTCAACTCGCTAGTGCTTCATGGAGAACTTCCAAAAGGTGGAAAAGATCGGAGAGGGCACGTACGGAGTTGTGTACAAAGCCAAAAACAAGTTGACTGGAGAAGTGGTGGCGCTTAAAAAAATCCGCCTGGACACGTGAGTGATCTCGGTAGCTGGGGGCTTTCAACTCGGGAGCTGCTTGATTGTCTCCCGCCCTCCCCCCGCCCCAGCCTCCCCGAACAGGCGGGTAGCCGTCCCGGGACCGGAAAGTAGCCCGGGAAGGGCTTGGTTTTTGAAGTGGAGGGGTGAGTGAGTTGACGAGCGGTAGTGAGTCTCTCTGGGAGAGTGACTGTACACACTGATATGGAACCCACGGAAAAACTTTTCTTCCTAGCCTGAGCCCGGGGTGCTCCCCACTGTGCAAGCAGCGAAAACCAAGGGAGAGAAAGGAGGCCTCTGGGATCGGGCCCAGGACTCCTCATGGAACTGGGCTATGGGGGGGGATCCGCAGGGAGCACCTTTCTAAAGACAGAGCCCCCCTCGCTGCCCCAACCCCACCCTCATCGTAGAATTCTTCCCCTCTTTCAAAAGAGTGGCAGTTGGGCCTCACTGGCCCGCTGAGGGAGGTCGGGTGCTCCTCTCACTTTTTTTTTTTTTTCACTCTCTCTAGTATCTTCTCTCAGCTCACCACTTCACCGGGAGGTTTACTTACCTTCCCCTGAGAAAAGAAATAATGACTTTACTGTGTCCAAAAACCACACCCTGACTACCCAGGAATTAACTCCTTACAGCACCCTGCTTTCTTATCTGAATTTTCCAAGGGAATCCTAGGGTGGTATCTCTGGCTGGGGGGCGGTGGGGAGGGGGAGGTATGTTTGTAACCATATTCCCATTTCTGCTTTCCCAACCTTTGTAAGTGAGACTGAGGGTGTTCCGAGTACTGCCATCCGAGAGATTTCTCTGCTTAAGGAACTTAACCACCCTAATATTGTCAAGTAAGTATGGGGGTGTGGGGGGGTGGGAGATGACCTGATAAGGAAGGAGGCTCAAGTTGAGTCCTGTTTGTATATAGCCTGAGTGCTTTCTCCCTCAACGCCATTTCCTTGACCTCCTCTCTGCAGGCTGCTGGATGTCATCCACACAGAAAATAAACTGTACTTGGTGTTTGAATTTTTGCACCAAGATCTCAAGAAATTCATGGATGCCTCGGCTCTCACGGGCATTCCTCTTCCCCTCATCAAGGTATTATGCATATATTTTGGGGAGACTAGGGGCAGGCAGTTCTGACTTGGATAATTTGTAATTTTGGCCAGCCTCCCAGCCCAAACACCTCCTCTCTCCCCCCCTCCCATATTTTTTCTTTTGTTTTCTTTTGTTTCCCTGCTCATTAACCTGAGGGTTTAGCTGAAGAATCAAAGTTGAAATTCTAGTGAGTCAGCCTAGCAGTTCAGGTGGGAGGTCAGATGAAACTAAGATAAATGGGATGGGAATTGAAGCTAAGCCAGTTACAAGAATCCTCAAAAAAGCCCTTCTCGCCACTTAATGGGGGAAATAACTAGCGTGTCTCTGTTGTTTGTTTTAGAACAGTTCTTCATTCCCAGAGTTTCCTGTCTTCTCTTTCTCCCCCTTTTTTTGTGCTTATATCAGGCTTGAACTCGAGGCCTCAACTCACGCTCAGAGCCACACCTCCAGTCTATCTAGCAAAAAACTAGTTATCCTCACATCTCAGTAGCTAGGATAACAAGCTAGGATAACAAGCCACTGACCGTGCCTTTTTTTTTTTTTTTTTTTGAGTGCCAGCTCTGGGGCTGGAACTCTAGGTCTGGGCACTGATCCTTAGCTTTTTCACTTAAGGCTGGTGCTTATCACTTGAGCCATAGCTCCTCTTCCAGCTTTTTTGCTAGTTAATTGGAGAGAAGTGTCTCATGGGCATTCCTGTCCAGGCTTCCTTTGAACTGCAACTCCTCAGATCTCAGCCTCCTGAGTAGCTAGGATGACAGGTGTGAGCCACTAGGGCCTGGCTTAGCTCTGTTAATTATTGGTTATTTTGGAGATGGAATTTAGAAACTTTTCTAAGGGGGGGATAGGAGTAGAGCGGGAAAGTGAGAGAAAATGAGGGAGGAGTTAACACTGTTCAAAAAGAAATGTATAGTCGGGCGCCGGTGGCTCACGCCTGTAATCCTAGCTACTCAGGAGGCTGAGATCTGAGGATCGAGGTTCAAAGCCAGCCCGGGCAGGAAAGTTTGTGAGACTTATCTCCAATAAACCCTAGAAAACCGGAAGTGGTGCTGTGGTTCAAGCGGTAGAGCGCTCGCCTTGAGCTGAAGAGCGCAAGGACAGCGCCCAAGCCCAGAATTCAAGCCCCATGACCAACAAAAAACAAACAAACAAAAAATGTATGTACTCATTATCTTAATTATATAACTGTAACCCTCCGTACATTACCTTTACAATAAAATAAATAGATGCTTCTATGCAGGCTGGCCTTGAATCATGACCCTTAAGATCTCAGCTAGGATTATATAGATGGGATCCACTGGCTCCAGGCTCCCAGAGCTAATTCAGTCTTATCAGCAAATGCTTACTTTTTTTGTGCTGGTACTTGAGTTTTAACTGTTCTCACTAAGACTTTTTGCTCATGGCTGGCACTCCAACAAATGTTAATCGAACACAAATACGTTGAGTATCTTCAGTATGTTAGGTATAGAGTAGGTAAAGAGTGCATAAGACTTAGTACTGGAACTAGAGGTGTGGCTCAAGTGGTAGTCAGCCATAAGTGAAAACCTAAATGAAAGCTTGAGGCCTTAAGTTCAACCCCTCCCCCCATGACTTAGTCCTTCCCCTTACTGGACTGAAAGTCCAATGGAGAATACCTGCCAAGAGCTAGTTATGATTTAACATAGCAAAGGTTTTGGTAGTGTTTTGGGGGTGGAGAAGCATAGAGAAAACCTTAATATTTTTTTTTTTTTCTTTTTTTTGGTCACTGGGCTTGAACTCCGGGCCTGGGCGCTGTCCCTCAGCTCTTCAGTTCAAGACTAGCACTCTACCCCTTGAGCCACAGCTCCACTTCTGGTTTTCTGGTGGTTTATTGCCCATCTCTTGAGAAAACCTTTAACTGTGGAGAAACATAATCTTCCCTCTTTCCTTTGTCAGAGCTATCTGTTCCAGCTGCTCCAAGGCCTAGCTTTCTGCCATTCTCACCGGGTCCTGCACCGAGACCTTAAGCCCCAGAATCTGCTTATCAACACAGAGGGGTCCATCAAGCTGGCAGACTTTGGACTAGCCAGAGCCTTTGGAGTACCTGTTCGTACTTATACCCATGAGGTAAGTCCCTCTTTGGTTTTCTTCTCTGAGCATCTTGGGAAGTGTTAACAAGGGTATTCAAAAATAAAGACTATAAATATCTGGCTGGTAGTTTCTCAAAAGAATCTTTTAAACACTAAGCATGTTAGAGTATATGCAGAATTCATACTGTGAAGCTTAAACAGGCTCAGATACTAAGCCAGGAAAGCTGGATGGCACAGCATTGAAATCATAACCATTTGTCTCATTTTCTGAGAAGGTCCCAGGGTTCAGAAAAGATGGCTCCAAAAGCTATTGGACTAAACTAATTTTGGGCTAGGAAGTTGTATGTAGTCATTTCTTTGGAGAAGTGGAGGGAGGAAAGGAAACTACTTAAGAGTCTGAGAATTAGCACAGTTTTGTTGAGGATCTGAGGAATGTGAATCTCCATGACATGTAAATCATGCCTCCCTATTGTTCCCCAGGTGGTAACCCTGTGGTACCGAGCACCTGAAATCCTTTTGGGCTGCAAATACTACTCTACAGCTGTGGATATCTGGAGCCTGGGCTGCATCTTTGCTGAGATGGTATGGAGGCTTGCCTTGTTCTACCCAGCCAACTCCTCCTCACATCTAAGAACATTGCTTGGGCCAGAACCATGGCCTTGCTAACAGAGTTATCTAGGGGATCACCAGAACAGGGGGTTGGCTAGGGCTATGACCCCTGATATTAAGCACAATGTTAGAAGGTCCCCAAATGGACTTGGTATCTAGTGTGCATCTCACATCCCTGAAATGAACTCATTTTTGCAGCCATTCATCTGATTTAGTTTAGTCTGCCTGTATTTGGAAGAATGAGAGATCCATTAGTGCCTCCATCATCTGGCCTGTAGATTTTGTTTTGTTTTCTTTTTTTTATGCTGGTACTGGGGCTTGAACTCAGGACCTGGGCTCTGTCCCTTAATTTTTTTCTCTCAAGGCTGGTGCTTGATCCACAGCTCCACTTCTAGCTTTTTGGTAGTTAATTGAAGATAAGAATCTCATGGACTTTCCTGCCTGGGCTGGTTTTGAGCTTTGATCCCTAGATCTCAGCCTCTTTAGTAGGGAGGATTGCAGGCACAAACCATTGGCAGCTGGCTCTGTAAATTTTGTAGGATACCAGGAATATGGCAAAGCCAACACTCTTCATTTCTGCAGATTTGATCATGTGCCCCCTCCTACTTCTGGCTTTTCAGAGTGAAGGCTCCTTGGAGTGCCTGGCTTTCTGTGGGGAGCTCCCATTTCCTTTAATACAACAGTGGACTGGGCTGATCAGCAATATACTTTATGGTCCTTTATCTGGGTTATCACTGGGGGCTTAGAAACCATTAGCTTATATATAGCTGTACATATATAACGTGCATTTATCCGCCAGTGCATTACCTTACAATTGCCCATATTCCTCTCTCAATTCATCAAAAAATATTTAAGCACCTAGTGTGTACCCAGCACCATGCTAAGTGCTGTGGGGAACACAGAAGAAATGGAAGACACAGTCTCTGCCCGCTGTGCTCCTATCTAGAAGTGGCTGCATCACAAGGAGGGGGGATGACCGCAGTGTCTACCCCATACCCCGTGAGTGGCTTGGGATCCCTTTGCTACATGTCAGTGGCACCCCAGACATTCACCCCCTCCCATCCCCACCCAGCCTTGGGGATCTACAAAGCCATGATTGGGGGAAGGAAGGAGGGGGCGAGGAGACAGATGAAGGGACTTTATTGTCTCGGGCTCTGTGTGACTGACCCCATGAAAGGCCCTGGGGAGGGAGTCATGGGGCCCTGCTGACCTTTCCACTGCCTGTGGGAACCTCCTTCATAGAAGGGGACAGTTTTTTGACTGACGTCAATGTGGGTCTTTGGCCTTTCCCCATTTTCAGGTGACTCGCCGTGCCCTATTCCCTGGAGATTCTGAGATTGACCAACTCTTCCGGATCTTTCGGACTCTGGGGACCCCAGATGAGGTGGTTTGGCCAGGAGTTACTTCTATGCCTGATTATAAGCCCAGTTTCCCCAAGTGGGCCCGGCAAGATTTTAGCAAAGTTGTGCCTCCCCTGGATGAAGATGGGCGGAGCTTATTATCGGTAAGAGTCAGGGAGTAGGGAGCTGTTACCTCTCATTCACTTCCCCAGGGAAGGGCTCTTCCTGGAGGAAGAAAGGCTGAGGATGGGAATGTGGCTTAGTGGTAGAGTGCTTGACTGGCATGCATGAAGCTCTGGGTTCAATTCCTCAGTACCATATTAACAGAAAAAGCAAGGAGTGGCACTATGATTCAAGTGGTAGAGTGCTAGCCTTGAGCAAAAGAAGCTCTGGGACAGTGCCAGGGCCCTGATTTCAAGCCCTAGGACTGGTAAAAACAAAACCGCTGAGACCCTGAAATCTCTGTTCAGCACACTGGTTTAGATATGGAAGGAGAGAAATGAGAACTGGGTAAAAGGGATCAGTTTTTCTGATTCCTGAGACTACTTGCCAACTTTTTTTTTTTTTTTTCCCTCCAAGCCTGGGGCTTGAACTCAGGGTCTGGCACTGTCCCTTAGCTTCTCTTGCTCAAGGCTAGTGTTCTACCACTTGAGCCACAGCACCACTTCAGCCTTTTCTGTTTATGTGATACTGAGGAATCGCACCCAGGGCTTCATGCATGTTAGGCAAACACTCTGCCACTAAGCCACCTTCCCAGCCCCATTTTTTTCCCCTCTGTTCCATTACTAAAATCAGTATATATATTTCTCCCTCCAGCAAATGCTTCATTATGATCCCAACAAGAGGATTTCAGCAAAAGCAGCTCTGGCTCACCCTTTCTTCCAGGATGTGACAAAGCCAGTACCTCACCTTCGCCTCTGATGCCTTTCCCAAAGCCCTCATCTCATCTATCCATCTAGTGTGGGCTGCACCTGACTCAGGGCTCTGGGCTATTTGGACTCAGGTGGGCCCCTGATCTTTTATGGCTGTTATAGGCACTGCTCACCTTTCCAACTTGGGAGATTGTGAGATAGAAGGGAGGAACAGGTTAAAATGAAAGGAAGTTTCAGTATTAGATGCACTTAACACAGCCTCTACCACCTTCTCTCACCCCTCTTAGTCATTGCCAAGGAGGGCTGGTATCCAAAACCAAACCAAACTGTTCTCCCCCTCCATATCAGGTTTGCTATTTTCCCGTCTCTGAATATCCCATAGTTATTATTGGCCTGTGTTTGCAATAACAGGGACCCCAGACCTCCTGCTGCTGTTTTGTTTTTGTGTTTGTTTTTAGTAAAGGCCAACTGATAGCAGGGGGCTAAGTTGAAACATTTGAGAACCAAACAAAACCAAACCATTTGAAGGGGGTCTGTTTTTAAAGAATTAGGTTAGAAAAAAGAATAGATCCAATCAGTTTTTACCCTAGTTTTAATGTTTCACCTAGCCTAACAGGCTGAGACTCAAGACACACATCTGAGGAGAGGGGAGAGAAAAAGATGATCTCTGAAGCCTCTTTGTCCCTGCTATGGGAGTAAGGAATTGGGGGGCCCAAGGGACAGGGATTATTCTTTACTCTCATCTGTTGCTTTAGCACAGCCTTATGAAGCATGTGAAAAAATGTTGGACTTTTCCTTTAGAAATTTTAGTTCTTCAACTGCCAGGGATCCCTATTTCCCTTTGAAAGCCACCTCTAACTCGTATAGAAGTGCAAGTTAAGGGTTTAGACATCCTTTTAGGAATACTGACACTTTTTTTAGGGCTGTGAATGAGTAGTGCATTGGGAAAATATATTTCTTTAAAAGAAGGATGAACAATTATATTTATATTTCAGGTTCTAGTTTTTTTTTTTTTTTTTTTTGTCAGAGTGGCTAAATTTGCTGCCATGCGCACCTTGGGGGTTTTGTAATTCAAAATTTTTTAAGTTTTTTTTTTCTTTTTATGATGTTCTTTCTTCTCCCCTTTGTCCTCCAGTGTTCTGTTAACATTATTTGTAATTTAGTTTGTAATTCATTAAAAGAAATTGTTCTTAGTTTTAGTGTTCATCTTTTTCATCCTTATTTATTTACTGGAAGAATGGTGTGGGAAAAATCTTGACATGTTCATGTGATAATTAAATTCAGATCCCCCCTTTTCCTACCTAATCTATGTCTTGCAAGGCCACCTGCACTCCCAGCCCATTTTGGCCTCATGCAGCTGCAGTTGGGATGGTGCCAAGGTGAATAGACTATGTGTGTTGTCCCAATTTTACAGCTGGGGAAACTGAAGCCTCTGTATTTCCTACTTCACTACACAGCAGCAAACCCTCCCTTCCTCCCATCCCAGTAACTACATACAACATACACTTTGCAGAATTGTAGTTCCAGCCAATATGGTTGGGGGCAGGAATTCTCAACATTTGCCTTTTCCTGTGAGCTCCCAAGTTTTTCTTTTTGATTGTGTAGTAGGGCCTGGCACTCATCACTTAAACTACACCTTCACTTTCAGCTTTTTGCTGGTTAATTGGAAATACAGACTTTTCTGCCTTGCTGGCGTCTATCTCCCTTTTCCTCAGGTCTCAGCCTCCGTAGTAGCTAGAATTATAAGAGCAGAGCCACCAGCGACTGGCAGTGCTCGTGTGTGTGTGTGTGTGTGTGTGTGTGTGTGTGTGTGTGATTTTATTTTTTGTCAGTTGGAGAGCTTGAACTCTAGGCCTGGGCACTGTCCCTCAGCTCAAGGCTAGTGCTCTACCACTTGAGCCACAGTGCTACTTCCAGTTTTCTGGTAGTTAATTGGAGATAAGAGTCTCATGGATTTGCCTACCCAGGCTGGCTTTGAACTGTGATCCTCAGACCTCAGCCTCCTGAATAGCTAGGATTATAGGTGAGAGCCACTGGTGCCCAGCTTATTTTATATTTTGAGACAGGGTCTCTATTTCACCTTGGTAGGTTTGTTCTGGAATTCTGCCTCAGTCTCCCTGAGGGAGACAGGCATGTCTCACAATGCCCAGAGCTGATTTTATAAACAACAAAGTTTGTTTTCTTTTTGTCGGTTGTGGGGCTTGAACTCTGGGCCTGGGCACTGTCCCTCAGCTCTTCAGCTCAAGGCTAGCACTCTACCACTTGAGCTACAACGCCACTTTCAGTTTTCTGAGTGTTTTATTGGAGATAAGAGTCTCAGACTTTACTGCCCAGGTTGGCTTTGGGGCTGGCTTTCAACAGCGATCCTCAGATCTCAGGCTCCTGAGTAGCTAGGATTACAGGCGTGAGCCACTGGTGCCCGGCAACAGCAAAGTTTTGTAAACATTCTTTTTTTTTAACTTTGTCAGTCGTAGGACTTGAACTCAGGGCCTGATCATTGTCCCTGAGCTTTTCTATTGCCACTTCCAATTTTTTGCTGGTTAATTGGGAGGTAAGAATCTCAGGCACTTTCCTGAGAACCGTGATCCTCAGATCTCAGCCTCCTACTTAAGATTCTTCAATTTACATTTACAATATGATTCAAGAGGTTGACAGTCTATATATTATTTTTTAAAAATACTCTGAAGGGGTTAAAGTGTCTTCAAGCTACCACTTTTGTAGTTGGCTTTTGTCTCCACCAAAAAAATGTCTCAGATTTCCCGAAGGCCACCCTAAAAAATGCCCCTCTGTAAAAGAGGAAAGCCCTGATGTGAGTGTTATCTTAAATTCACAGGCTCTAGGTCCTTGGAAAAGGAGCATCCCGAGAATCTGTCACAGAGGGCAGGGCATTAGGGCAATCCCCGCCAAACCCAGGGGGAGGGGCGAAGGTCAGTGGTGGCCTTCCTAACCCTTGTCTGTCACTCAAGTACGAAATTCTTGCAGTACTGGCTAAAATTTGGCTTTGACCCGCCTCCACCACTCACCTGATTAGATGTTTATGAGTCAAAAGGCGGGGTCATCGAGTGTCGAGCTCTTGTTGGCTAATACATCTGCCTGTCGATGCTGCACCGCCCCCTGTCTCTGGAAGTTCGGTCTTTACTGGCTCCTCACCTCGTCCATCTTGAAGATTTCTCTCTAGTTATTGGTTTGAGGCCCCGCCTGTCGGGTCCCTGTCTCGTACTGGTTGGTGGAAGCGCCTCAAAAGACCCGCCTTTCCCCACAGGATTGGCAGATGAGTGCACATAAAACCCGCCCTCGGGGGTAGGCTATTGGTTGAAGTTTCCCCGCCCCAAGGCGAGCCGGAGGAGGAGGAGAAGGAGGAGGAGGAGGAGGTGGTGGTGGTGGTGGTGGAGGTGGAGGAGGAGGGGCAAGAGGGTTTGGTTGAACTGCAGCTGTTTGTCTGTTCGACACAGGCTTGGGCCCGACGGAGGAGACGGAGCCCCAGGTACTGAGGCTGATGGAGCCCACAAGGGCAGAGACGGAGGTGCTGGGAGATGGGAACAGCCTGACCCGAGACCAGAGGCGGGTCTGGGCCTATGCGAAGGGGTTAGGGCGGCCCATTGGAGAGGAGAGAAGGGGGCCGGGTCCCTGCAGGCCTACTGGGGGCGCTGAGGAGGGGGATCTGGAGGGCTGTGAGCCTGAAGTTGGGGAGGCGGCGGGTGCTGGAGGCCCTGAACCTGTGAGTGGGGCAGGACGGGCCTCATTACTCTTTAAAAGGCGCTGGAGAGGGAGGAGCTGGGGAAAGGGACGGGTGAGGTAAGCCTATTTGCCCCAGGGGAGGAGGGGGTCAACCCTGACTCCCTGCCCCAAAGGTAACTTGAGGCTGGGGGAAGAGGGGGGGTCTCTTGAGAGCTGTCTCTTGGGAAGGGCCTGAGAAGGGTGATTACCTGATCAGAGGCGTTATTTCCTGGGACAGTGGCTGTTATAAAGCTAGGGTGCTACGGTGAGGAGCCGAGAGAGATTTGAACATTCCTGATGTAAAAGACCAACCAAGGTAGTCTTGAAGAACTAGAAGCAGAAAGCATGGCCTTCTCAGTTGTGGGAGCTTCTGGGAAAGCTTCAGGGTCTCTGGACGCTGTGGGTTTAGGAGTATTCACTCTTTTGTTCCTTTAGTATTTAGATGTGGTGACTTGAAGTGGTTTTTTTGTTTTTTGGTCGTCCCAGAATAAGAAGGTGACGACAAAAGTAATTTTTTTTTCTTGTTCCCTAATTATTGGCTGCTCCAAACTCATCTTCTATACTTTCTCATGGCCTCATGGTTTAGACTGCAATGGTTTTTTTTTTTTTTTTTTAATTTTTCTTACTGTTTATATGTTCGCTGAAAGAGCTAAGAAGTTCAATATGAAGGATGTTTTTCTGCTTCTTTCCCTTGCCCCACCTTAATAATGTGGTCTATAGTGACTACTCAGATCTTGTTTTCCTATAATTGGAGAATTATTTCATTGTCTGAATGTAAAGGGGCTTAGAGATCACAAGTCAGCTAGAAATTTTCCAACCTGAGTTGGTGAAACTACTATGAGACTTAGACTTGGCTATTTCCTAGACAGGTGATGGAGTTCATCAGTCCTGGTGATATACTGAGGAAGGGATTTGAGGACCAGTGAGAAATTCCATTCCGGAAGGTTGGCATCACCCCTTGTGCTTTATCTACTTTTTCTGGAGCCCAGGTGTCTGTGTGATTAGAAAACTGATTCAAACCTTGAGGTATTGGGAGAAGTGAGAAGTATAGAAAAAGATGAACCTAGTGGATTACTCAGTCAGAAAAGTAGATTCTCTATCATGTATTTTATTTTATTTTAAGTAGTTGTACAAAGAAGTTTCAGTTCTATCCTGTACTTTTAATGTTCAGTTCACTTTTTAGTCTTCCACAGATTGGAACCGTTCAGATTTTCCCTTTGGAAACTTTTCATCTCTTTCTCCCCTAAACCAATGTATTACTAAAATTTAAATTACAAAGTAATGCATACATATGTTTAAATATTTATGTTGTACGGAAGTGTGAAGAAATATATTTTCTCCCACACATTTCATTTAGGAAAGTCAGAGATCAGAGACAAACCAGAATATTCTCACTGTCTTTTGGGGAAGGGCCACTAAAGGCAATTCTGTTTAAATGTTCTCCCTACATTGTGGTGTCTCTTTCTTTCCCATAGTTTTCCCTTTTTGGATAATACTGTGTTATTTATTGTGCTTCTCTCACAGTTCAGGCTGTTTATCAAATTCAGACAAGGAGAGAGTTGTACTCAGGATTATCATTTGCCTTCTTCAATACATACGCAGAGTTGTACACTAGGTAGTCTAAAGATGTCCACATAAATAGACAAAACGTTTTTCTCTTTTATGGTCAGAAAAGAAACAAAACATGAATGTTTTGTTGTGGGGGATAATTGACAACTTCTGGTTTTTGGTCTCACAATATTTGACTGACTCTCCCTTCCATACCCCTGAAAGTGGTCAGGACACAAGAAAAGACCAGGGTATAGAAATGTCAAAGATTAGAGAGGATGAATGAATGCACATACATATCTGTAGAGCTTTCTCTAGGACTGGCTTAGCTGATGAGAACAGCTAAGGTGGGGAGAATTAGAATGGAGGTTTCTGCTGAGCACTGTATGAAGTCTGTGCATTATGAGAGGGCTTTTAAAGCCAGTAAGATCAGTTAATAAGGTAGTATTATGAATTGTCCCTTAACTGTCTAAGATTTAGAGGAAAACTTCTTAGGTCATTCAAGAAAGACAGATATAGGAGTATCTTAGGAAATTTTTCTACTTTCCCCTTAAAGCTTTTAAGAAAGTATCTGGGCCAGTCAACAATGTCTCATGTGGTAATAATTCTAAGTACTTAGGGGCTGAAATTGAAGTTCAAAGCCAGCCCAGGAAGAAATGCCTATGATTTTGTTAAAAACAAACAAAAAACAGCTAAAAGCAGGATGGAAGCCAGGCACCAGTGGCTCATGCCTGAAATCTAGCTACTCAAGAGACTGAGATCTGAGGATCACAATTTGAAGCCAGCCAGGCAAGGAGACTCTTATCTCCAATTAACCACCAAAAAGCCAAAAATGGAGCTGTGGCCCAAATGGTCGTGTACTAGCCTTGAGTCCAAAAACTGAGGGACAGTGCTCAGGCCCTAAGTTCAGGCACCAAGATGGGCAAAA